GTCGCAGATCCACCCTCAACCGCCTCGCCGCCGTATCCACAGCCTCTGACGCTGGCGGCGGTGGCTTCGGCAGGTTCAGCGATTCAAGGGTCGGCACAGTCGGCGGCCGCGGTGGCGTCTCCACAGGTGGCACAGGAGGCGGAGGCGGTGGTGGAGGATCACCAACTCCATCAACAGGCATCCTTTAAGGAGCTGTGGAGTCTATGTCTACGGACCACGGAGGCTGTGTTTGTCTGTGTGTGTGCCAGGAGGTGTAGTACTTGTCTGCTTGTACGTCTGCCCGTCTGCTTATTACCGTTAGCCGTTATCCCATGTAACTGGTCATGATCTGGAGATCTTATATGCTACATACGCAGATCACTGTCTATCGGGCTTGGCAGTCTAGGCAGGTGTGGCGTTGGCACTCACCAAAAGACCAACAGGCTAACATTGAACATAGAAACGGCACCGGAGCTGCGCCGCGCTGCTCGACCACTCCACTGACTCCACTGACAGTCCACTAAACTAAACGGCTAGTATGCCAACAAATCCACAGACAAAAGTTGTTAATTCGCGGGGATCAAGGCGGCCCTCGGGAACTAAGGGTGTCAGGTTGTCCCAAGTTGTCGTTCTCGTTGACTGTTCTAAACATGATGCGTTGTTTTGCCTCCGATCACTGCGATCACCCATCACACCACTGAAGCCACCGAGCGTTTGAAACCACCAACAAATCCACTCCTCCGAAAGTTCCTGAAGGACTCAGACTGAATAACTGGGCTCTGCGCCCAGGGGGCCCAGCGGCGTTTGGCGAGGCTGATCCAGCCTGGGCCGGTGTTGGTTATGATCATGTAAGATAGTGTGCATAGTGCATGGCTGTATATAGTATGAAAAGGATTACAGGTTAGAACTTCAGGAGCTAGGCAGTAGGTGGCAGTCGGCAGTGATATGATTGATATGATGCCGTTGCCGTGCTCAGTGCCAAACGAGATCAAAGGGACATTGAGGATGTGACATGGCCGCCGTTACAGCTGTATCAACACCGAAGAGAAAATAACTAGTGTAGGAGTCACGGCCCACGGCTGAAAGTCTCTAAGCTTGCAGCACTGACAACTCTTCTGGATTTCCACTGCTAGAGTTACGGCATGTAATGTCACATGGCATGTCCCATGGTCCCCTCCTATTTGGCTGCTGCCTAAACAGAAATTGCCTGTTGCCTCTGTCGCCGTGTCAAATCCCACGAACCTTTTTTTCGCACACACACACTGGCGTCGAACGACAACACGATTCTCGACAGCGTGCACGGCCGTGAATGCAAAGAAGCCAAAAAATGTGCAGCGGTCCATGTGGTGGCACGCGGCGGCTGCCTCATCAACGCTGGTTGCAGTTGCCTACATCAAGAAAGCTTCATCTTGGCACGACAGTCCCAGCTGCATCTAGGCACGAAACATATCATCTCTGTGCGTAGCACGCCACTCCGCAAAGTAATCTTCCACAGCTGACCTGTGCCACTCCGTGACATAAGCGACAGACTGCATGGCGACAAGAGAATCAATGCACGCGGCGTCAGTCAGGGGACCAGCTGGCAACACCTCGTCCACTATTTCATAGTCAGCCCGGCGTCGTCGCCTAATCCTGGAAGAAGCTTCTGTACTCTCCAGCTGCGTGTGCTCCACGGTCTCCACGGTGTTATGTACTGCTTCTGTACTCTCCAAGGCCAGCTGCGTGTGCTCCACGGTCTCCACGGTGCTAAGCCATGTAAGCAAGCGCAGCAGTGTGTCGTAGAGCCATCGCAAAAACATGAGCAACATGTCCACTGTTAAGCTTCTTAACTCGCGGGGATCAAAGCGGCCCTCGGGAACTAAGGGTGTCCGGTTGTCCCAAGTTGTTGTTATCATCGCTTGTTGGCTGACAGCAACTCACACGGCGACGGTTCTGAACATGATGTGTGGTTTTGCATGCGATCACTGCGATCACCCAACACAACACCGAAGCCACCGAGCGACCGAGCGATTGAAACCACCAACAAATCCACTCCCTCGGAAGTTCCTGAAGGACTCACACTCACACTAAATAACTGGGCTCTGCACCCAGGGGGCCCAGCAGCGTTTGGCGAGGCTGATCCAGCCTGGGCCGGTGTTGGTCATGTAAGATAGTGTGCATAGTGCATGGCTGTAGTATGAAAAAGGATTACAGGCTGATTACAGGTTAGAACTTCAGGAGCTAGGCAGTAGGTGGCTGTCGGCAGTGATATGATTGATATGATGCCGTTGCCGTGCTCAGTGCCAGACGAGATCAAAGGGACATTGAGGATGTGACATGGCCGCCGTTACAGCTGTATCAACACCGAAGAGAAAAGAACTAGTGTAGGAGTCCTGAGTAGGAGTCGCAGGTAGGGGAAACAGCGACCAAGGACGCAAACCAAGCACGGCACCGGCACCGGTCGACTCACTCATGCATGCAAACAGTGAGATGTCACGATGTCATTCTGTGATCTTGATGACGTTGACACTAGTTGACACTGACACTGTCTCTCAGATGCCAGTTGGGGCTCAGCTGGGGTCACAGCTTGCGCCGCAGAGATGCAGCAACTGCCTGTGCGACGCTTTCCTACGCAGGAGACGACACATGCAGTCCAATCAAGCACAACTTCAAAACTTCACGACACAATTGCAGCAAGCAACATCGCAAAGACTCCATGCCGCCATGCCAAGCTTCCAACATTGTCTATAGGTATTCGCACATCATATCCACCACTGCTGTAGGGCTGTAGGATTGTAGGATGATGATGATGATGCACTGACTGACATGCCACTCAGCAAGCTTCATGCAGCAAGCTTCATGCATGCAGTTTACCGGCGTACCGGAGTATAGCCGTATAGTCGCCGTGCAGCCGTATAGTATAGTGAATATCTTTCGGACTCAGGATGGATTACCTCAAGCCTGTCTCAAGCCTCAAGACGTCTGCCATGTATGTCGGTCATGTCCGTCAGATAACAATTGCCGGTGATGTTGGCCCGTATCAGTCACATTAGTCTGTACGTCTGCACACTGTGTGGCTGGTACAACTCGTGTGCCGTGTGTACGTGTGGCGTAGCACTGTCAAAGTCACATGCATCACATGATCACATGCAGCATCGTAGCCGTAAACTGCAGGAAAAACACATGGAAGCCGAATACCTTGAATACTCTGACATGGTCAACATGCACTATGCACTATGCACTGATGGACTCATGGCCTCATGGACTTATGGACTTATGGCTCTATATTATGGCTCTATAGACCCTGGTCTCTGGGAAAGTGGTACAGACGGTGCAGATAACTGATAACTATTTCAGTCCCTCCCTCGTACGGCTAAAAGACATGCAGACTTGATGTAGACACGTTGGAGACCGATATTTTTAGCAGTTGGGCAACATGCGGTAACCGTAGGACCGTAGGTAGTACAACTTAGTACAACATGCCAATGCCGCAATGCCTACCACACCAACGACCATGGGACCATGGGCACACACTCAGGCCTCAAATCGATGCATAGTCACAGTCAGTTAAATCTTCCGATATCACTTCACTGATATCACCGCAGGCCATGTTGAATATGCTGCATCTAGATAGGGGGTGCACAGGTCCTGCAACGGAGAAGCATGTTTCTGTTTCTTATAATCATAAGCATTATGCAATTTACACCCAGCACTGCACTGTATGCTTCAAGTATACTTCCGATAAGATATGTGATGTTTCCACTTTTACAACCACATTCGCAGTCAGACGGTCACACGGTCACACATAACACTCGCCAGGATGTGTGTCACTGTGTCACCGGCATTCACTGCACTGCATGGGCATGGGTCCCATGGGTTGTTGTGTTGAGTCCGACGTGTTCATGTATGGCCAATGGCCGTAACGATTCTCGAATTCACAATGGCATTAGATCATGGCCAGCTAACAGGCAGGCTGACAGATATTCACTGGCTATGCAATGCACGCACAACTTACTCACAACCTAGTTCAGCCAGCATTGCACGACGTGCGCATGTTCTGTGTTCGACCACCGACAACCAGCGACAACCAGCGGTCGCAGTCCCAACGGTGAGCAAGCTATAAAACCCAAGCTCAAAACCACACCCACAACTCACAACACAACACAAGACACAAGCTAGAAACTAGAAACCTTAAAAACCCTTAAGTTAACTCAAACACAGGTATACCACTTGGCGATACAAGTCTAAGCCGGCAGGGTGGGCATGCTGAATGAACCTATTATAAAACAACAACATGTCATGTCACTGTCACTGTCACTGTGTCACCATCTCGGCTGCACCTTCTGCCCTTCTGCTTCTGCTTGGCAACTACCCGCTGATCCACAATGAGCACGGCAAGCAAATCCTGACCAGGACCAGACATCAGTACTGCACTGACATTGGATGGACTGGATGGATCCGGTTCTGACTGACGACTGGCTGACTGGCACTGGCCGGTCCGGCGTCCGGTTCGAACCGGTGTTGGTGTTGGTCCATGTTACTCCATGTTGCTGCGTCCGTCTTTCCTAATGTACATTGCATAGCGTGCAAGGTATGAGTCATTTGTATCATTAGCACGGTTTTTTTAATTGCTACATCTACATAATGTTGCATTGGCGCATCCCATCCGCCATCAGCACAATAGCAGGCGGAAGTCGGTCACAATCACAACGAAACTAAGACTGACTTCGACCTCGACACTCAAATCGCCAATCAGTCGCACCTCGATCTGTACGTCGCGACTGAGTAACATATAGCCGCTAGCCGTATATCATGTAGCCTTATAGTACACGTCGCACGTCGCACAAGCAACATAGCAGCAGCATCTGCAGCATCCGTTGTGATCTGCTGTTTGCTTTCGGTTTCAGCGTTTAGCGAGTCATCCTGATGCACTATGCACTGCATGCACAAGATTCCGCATGCCAAGCTGCCTATGAGGCACATGAATCACCGTGACGGTCGTGACGCATGACACATAGAATCAGCGACTCGGGATATACAACTTACACCGCGAATCTCATGCTCAGCAACAATACGACCCGTTGTCGACCCATTCTCAATGGCACCAACGTGGCAACTAACTCGTGCACACACGGGTCCTGCCTCCCCCCCTCTGGAGTCCCGTCTCGGAATGCAGTGGGAAGGTCAAATCCCGTGGGTACTGTGGGTGGGACGTTGATTTCGATGTCGATGCCGTCAATAGTGAGCCTGCATGTAGGTGTCCTGGCCGGGTCTGGAGGATCCGATGCCTCACGGTGCACCGGGGACATCATCTGCCGAACCACAGTCGAGACATCGCGTGAGCATGACACGTGTGCATCCAGCAAACATATGCAACAGCGGCTCGCCGGCAGGCAAGGGAGCTGAAGAGGACGGAACCTGTTGCAGACAAAGCATTTGTTTGCGAAAGATGCTTCGCCCGATGTGTCGACTGCTGTGTCAGCATGTGCCAGAGTCCACATCTCCTTGAGTCGCAACAGCTGGCTCGGGACAGTGCTTTGTCCCTGATTCCGCTTCCATGCGGCCTTTACATGCCTTGCGCCTGTTTTTCGCCAGACAATGACCATGTTCCTTGCACGTAGGTCAATCGGAGTCTTGTTCTTGCCTACAGGAACAACAGCCTTGATCATATTCGTCGCATCATCCACTGGCGCAATGCGACCTGTGAATCCTTCCTTGACCCAGGTAATGAACTCAGTGCGGTGCGTGTTGATACCTCTGCATGATTCGGTCCATGAAACCAGTGATACGCCATCCCAGTCGTGGCCGTCTTGGCCGCCCGCCTCTGTCGCTTGCTCAAGCAGCAAACGGATGCCGGTCGAGAATGCCGACGACCACTCATCTGCGGGGTGCAGTCTCTCATCGGCAGCCATGTCGACAGGGAATGCCGGTCCCGGTTCCGACGACGGTGGTGCTGATGCAGCATGACTGCCTGCTGAATCGGACCGACAAAACCAGCAGGGCCAGTAGGGACCAGGAACAACAAATACAACAAACTCACAAAGGTAACTAGCCATCTGCTCACTGCCCACTGCTGCTATCACCCTGCAACTGCACATGCTCTTTGCAAGTACTTGTATCTATGAATCTATAAAAACAATAACATGCGCTGTGGCCTTTACTCACAGATGCACATTGCACAAGACTAATGCCAGCTATGGCTATGTGCAGGCCAAGGTCAGGGTGTGTCACGGGTGTAACAGTGTAACATTGTAATATGAGTTCAGAGCGGCAAGCGAACATTCCACAATTCCACAATGGCAGCTGGCTGGAGACAGCTTAGCTGCAGGGTCTCCGTGCGTCCGTGTTCGCGTGCCCGGGTGCTTGCAGTCGGGATTCAGGAGGGTAGCAGTGTAGCAGTGTAGCAGCAGCATTCGAACAACCACACGGGCGGACCACACTGACACTGACCACTGACTGACCACGGCCATGTACAATTTAATGACCAACGCAGTGTGCAACATACAACTAAGTAATGTAATTAACCAAACTAACCAACCGTCATCATGCGATATGATGATATGATGTGACGATTGACGACTGTGACTATATGACTCGAAACGATTCCGACTATACGGAACAGAACGGTGATATTAGTCGCTCAGCCGCTCAGCGTTGAAACTACACTAAACATAGTGCCCGTCCAATGACAGTGACACGGTGACCATTCGGTGACCATTATTTAGATGGACAATTATTAATGTTAGCCAAATATTCAATTGACTGCTTGCCGACTGAGTCACCAGAGGACCTGGGTGAATCTGTCGCGGAGACGCCCGCTTCCCGTGCCACTGCAATCTCCACGGCCGCATCCACGGCATCTATGCCAGATTGTCTTGCCAAGGCAGCAATCTCCAGCTGCTGCTGTGGATCGTCCATGTTGAATTCTTTGCGTTCCATTTGCCGTAGAACTGCCTCCTGCTCATGCTGTGTTACCAAGTCCTCGTCAGCCTCTGCCCGCAGACGATTCTCAAACTGCTCCTCCAGCTCATCATTCCCGCCGCCAATGACATCTGGATCGAAGGCTGCCGCAGCACCAAGATGCAGCAAACGAGCAGTCTCGTCCGAGACACCCGACTCAACGTCCGTGTCGCTGTCCACATCACCATCATCGTCGCCGCCATCACGCGCCTCCGCCTTCCGACCAGTGGCTTGTGCCACAAAAGCTTGATTGGGAGGCTCCAGCGTGATGAGCGGCTTTGGTGTGGAGACCGTGGCAGACGTCACCGGACCGTCGCAACCCAGCTCGGTGATGTGGCACTGCATGACCCTCACGGCTGAGCCTGCCTTCACCGCATCGTACTGCTCCTTGAGCACGGCAACGAAAGGCTGTGAGCTTTGCAGCCTCCAGGTCAACCGGCTGCATGCATGCTGGGCTGGGCAGACTACGTACCTGTTGCGGACCTTCTCTCCGGCAATCCAGAAGGTAAACGAAGATTTGCTTTGGCCCTGATGCTTAACCCCGATGACGAAGACCACCGGAAGAGATTCATCGCTGCAGTCGAGCTCCTTATGCACCTGTGCCGAGTAGCTGGCTGCCCAAATGTGCCGGAGGGTGGTGGTGTTGAGGTGCGGCTGCATTTTGTTGCAAATTTTCTTCACCTCCTCGCTAGTGAGACTAGCATTGGGGTGGTTGGGGTGCCACCGGCTGGGATCCGACTGCACATGCCCCACCTGGTCCCAAACTTCAAGGCACTGATGCCGCACCCTCTCGGCAACAGGCCGAAATGTGGACCACTTGGCAGAGCTTTTGCCTGTCCCCTCCCCTGCCTCACCGAGAAGGTACTTGAGGCCCACCCGCGCACTGCGGAGGTCCAAACTGCAGTTGGGGCATCGATCTCGTAAGAGAGCAACCATTTTGTTGAGGCGCTCGTTCTCCCTCACGTCTGATTTCCAGAGGATGCTTGCACACTTCAGTAACCAGTACAACCTGCGGGAGCAGAGTCCGGATTTGAGCGTTTTCTGCAGTGCACTCTGGAATCGATGCTTCACTTTGCGTGCATTCACTTCCAACGACGCATCCGGTGTGTTCAGCAACTCCCTGGCGAGAGCAATGCGTCGCTCACAGCACTTGTCGGGAGAAGAGAAGGTGAACCACAGCAGTCGGTGAGGAAATGACTGCAAAGGATGTACAACACGGCGGTGAAAGCCAGTGGCGTTGTGCAGCAAGATCTTGACGGCCAAGGCATGCAAAAAAGTAGCATCTTCCGTGGACAGGCCATCAACAACATATGTCCAGAAGTTGTCAGAGTTGCCTGAGTGCGGCTGCGACGGAGACATGACAGGCGACAGACAGCCACAGAAGGAGGGTTGACGGCCCCGGCGGGCCAACAGCTGACAAACTAAGTGTCACTCGAACTGTAACTATAACTTATGCCATGATTCCATGATTATCTTGGGATACTTATGTACATCCAAGCAGTCGTCGTCTTGACGGGGACGCCTCGACGGTATCGCGGAAGCAGCCGTAGCACATAGTGTCCATAGTCCATAGTAGGTTGGTCATATGGTCGGTCGTGATGGTGGAGCTGGCGGCAGCGGGGACAGTAGAGACTAGAGGTGGCGGCGGCGGACCGGCGAACGGCGGCCAGATGATAGTAATGATAGTATTAGTATGCAGTATGCCAAGTGTATACTGTGTGCAGAATGCAGAGAGTGAAAGTCACAGTAGAGCTTGACAGTAACTTTTTTTGTTTGCACTCGGCTTCGCACTGGATATAATCTCAATTCGTCTGTACGTCTCTTCGACTCTTCGATGATTAGATGAGTGATCAGTAATCAGTATGTAGCAGTGATCGCTTATGACCTGAAAACACATATCTGAAGTGCTACGGCATCACAACCCAAGACCCAAGGGTGGTCGCACAAATGAGTGGATTACATGGCATATGTGACCATGCGACAAGTAAGTCAATGGACAATGGTCAAGAGTCAAAATGATTACCAACACCTAACAGCCGCATCACATCAAGACAACGACAACTGCACTATTTCAATGCACAATATTGGCACAGCTCACACAGCATGCAGATGCTCAACGACTCAACCAGAGGTGCAGGTGGCTCAGGTGGATCAGCGCTGTAGACATGCTAGAATATGATACTGACAATGACACGGTCACTGTATAAGAATCCATATCCGCAATAATCATTACAGACTCAACACGCACCAGTCACATCAGTACTGATACAGACTGATGACTGATGCCGATGCACCAGTGAATCGTGTCGTAGCCTGGTCATATCAGACTGACATTGGTCGATATTCGTACCGGTTGCCGCTTGCCGATCGCCATTGTCCATTGTCTACTGGAGCTCTGGATATGTTGGATTGAAATAAAAGTGCCGTGCATTGGTCTGAATATCAAATTATCAAGCCAATCCCAAGAAACCAAAAACGAGCGAACACAAAGTCAAGCCAAATCGACGGACCGACCGATTGACGGACACCGGCAGAACCCTGCAAAACAGCAACACAAGACCCGAAGGGTCGCAGCACGTGATACTGGATACTGTACTGACTGTACTGGATACTCATACTTATCATACTTCAACATTACTACTAGCCGCCCGTTGTGCCCGCAGGCAAATGCGAGCCAGTGCCGACTGCAACAAGCGACTGGCCAGTGTCTGGAACTCCGCTTGCAAGGATTCTGCCTTGCCCATTACCAGCTGTGCCAGAGTGCCTCCACGTTCCAAAAACTCGCGTTCCGGCACTAGCTTCTTGACAAAGTTGCTGAGATGGATAATAGGCTCCCGTGCACGATGCATGACTTGTATGACCCTGCCCCACATTCGGTCCGACATTGCCAAGAGAGTCCGCCCCCTCCATTGGCTCATCTTAATGGAGTAAGCTTTGGTTTGCTCGACCTCGAGCTCGTTGGGGGTCTGCTTGGCGCCCGTGGCCTTCTCTTGGCTGGCTGCCTTCTTCTTGGAGACCTGGACGGCTTGCCTGATCTTCTGCAGGGCTTCCATGTAGCACTGGTCAGTGGCAGCGACATCATTTGGCAAGTCCGTCAGACGTTCTGCCTCCGCATCATCGATGGCCTTGCCTGTAAGGACCTCGGCCATGCACAGCGCCAACCTCGGAACCCCTGCCTGCAGGATGCGTTCTTCGAGCTCATGCACTCGCCCCCAGCGCTGAGACACAGCCCGAGGGAACAGCTTCTTCACCGCTGCCTTGGCTGAACAGGCTCCCCAAAGCTGTCCCCACCGCTCGTAGAGGGGCTGGGCCACGTCACGTGCAGTGTGCGCAAACATGGCCAAGGACGTCCAATACTTCCAGTGACAACGACCGGCAAGGAGCCTATCGCAAAGAAGGAGTGAGGACATGACCACGAGATGCGGTGCATGCTCCAGGCAGTCGCTGTCAAAAAAGAAAACACCTGGCTTCTCCGCCATCTCTGCCAAAATACAGCGCCTGGCCCAGGATTCATTGCTGCCCTTGTCTGTGGTGCAGAGAAACAGACGGTCAAGGTCGTGCCTCGGGCCGTTCCGGAGTCGATCGGTATGCAATCTAGAATATACAGTCATATAAAGAGCAACAACAACTAGCTACAATGCCAATACCAGGAGCAGCGCAAGAACAATTAAACACTGCCAACACCAATGCGAACCATTACCATCACCGTCACCACCACTGAACAACAGGAACTCACAATAGCACACCGATGTCACCCCGTCTCAACGCAAACACCTGCAGCAGCGACAAAACAAGAAAAAATAGCAAAGTATGCAACAGCAGCAGCAGCAACGACTCCATCGACGACGATTCCGACTAATTCAACGATAACACCAATAATAACTACCACGCCACAACTGCCACAACAGCAAATACGGCAACTGTAACAACACAACACCACTACAAGAACAGCTGAGACCCTGAACCCAAAACCCTCAAACCGAACCCTGAAACCCTGAGACCCTGCACCCAAAACCCTGAGACCCTGCACCCAAAATCCCAAAACCCTGAACCTTCAAAATCCTAGGCCCCACTCCCGAAGCCCTCATGTAGGAACCTGATTGAGTCGGGGGGGGGTTAGAGCATCATGACATCAGATTCCCTGTCACAGTATCATCGGAGACACGCTCCTCCACTGCAACTTCATCCCAGAGAGTACTCCAAGACCAGGCTCGGGAAGAAGCCTCACCATGACCGCACTTCCGGCCCCTCCACCCCCGTAGGGGCATCACCGCGGCCAGAAATCGTGACTTGGGCCGGGTAATTAACCCTGACACCCCAAGGCGGAGGTTTGCCGCCCGACGACACTCTCACTGGGTGACCCTGCCTTCCTGACTACGGCAGACACACCAGGAGGAAAGGCCCCAGAGGAGCCAAACCACCCGGCCGGGTTATCACAGTAGCCGTCACCCTCCAGTGTCGATTTACTAGGCAGGGAGGGAGGGAGGGTGGGTGGGAGGCCAAGTCAGAAATTAGATGGTATTCCGGCGGGTTCGTAAGATCTGGGTGTAGGGCATTGTAGGGTTCAGGGCTCCTTGTAGTAACCCTGAATAGAGCCCTCTAAAGGAAGCCCTACTCTAATTCTGAAAGTGTTGTACCCACAACAACACGACGTAAAATCAAGTAGAACAACGACAACAGTAAACCGAAAATGGCAGCGACAATTGTGACAACGACAACGACGACTACAACAACAAAACAACAACAACAAACAAAAAAAAGGTAGCGACGACAGCGACGACAACGTTAAAACAGTAACAGCGCCGGTAAGGCGGTAAGGCGGCAGGCTGGCAAAAAAAAAGAAAACCAACAACCAACAAGAAGTAAAACCACCCAACAGCAACAACAGCAGCAGCAACAACAACACCAACAGCAACAACATAAACACCACTGCAACACCACCAACACCAACGTAACAACAACTAAGAACAACACCAACAAGTAACAACAACCAACAACAATATAACAACAACCAGCAACAACAGCAACAGCAACAGCCACAGCAACAGCAACACCAACAACAACAGCAAGCGAAAAGATAATGCCAACGATGAAACTAAGAAACTATCAAGTGACAACAACAACAACAACAACAACGACACCAACAACAATAACTATTGCTACTACTACTACTACTACTACTACTACTACTACTACTACTACTACTACTACTACTACTACTACTACTACTACTAGTACTACTACCACTACTCACTACTACGACTACTGCTACTGCTACAACTACAACAACGATGATAACGACAACAACAACCACGACAACAAAATGCAACAATAACTATAACTATAACTTACAACAACGACCACAAAAGCAGCAGCAACAACAACAACGACAGCAGCAACAGCAACGACAACGACAACAGCAACAACAAACAACAAACAGCAAACCACAAACAAGCACGAACAACAAACGACCCACGACAGACACGACAGACGACAACAACAACAGCAACAATTAGCAGCAATGACAACAACAGCAAGGGCGACAGCAACAACGACAACAACGACAACGACGACATCAGCAATATCAGCAACAACAAGACTACAACAGCAATTTCAACAATATAATAACAACAACAACAACAAAACAGCAACAGCAACAGCAACAACAGTAAAGCAGAAACAGTAACAGTAACACACACCGACACACCGGCATGAATCCCGGTATGAATCATATCAACGAATCAACGAATCAACAACTGAATCAACAACAGTAACAACAACAAGAACAAGAACTAAGAACGACGTGACGTAGCCCGTAACGACGGTTGAAGGTTGACGGTTACTACGGTTACTGCCACTGCTTACTGCTGTACGACGTTACGACGGCTGCCACGTACTACTACTACTACTACTACTACTACTACTACTACTACTACTACTACTACTATTACTACTACTACTACTACTACTACTACTACTACTACTACTACTACTACTACTACTACTAACTACTACTACTACTACTACTACTACTACTACTACTACTACTGCTACTACTACTACTCCTGCTGCTGCTGCTGCTGCTGATGTACTACTACTACTACTACTACTACTACTACTACTACTACCACCGTCACCGTCACCACCATGTTAACAGCACTTTAAAACAAACTCGCTGCAGAGGTGTGACTCTGTAGGTGGCTCCTCTCGCCACGAAGGACATCCCAAGCACTGGAACCCGCGAAGCGTCACATCTACGGAGCCTGGTCCGGATTCATCACGAATGTTGATAAGGTCAGCAAGCCGTTTGAGCCTTCTGAAGTCCTGCCATGCCAGTGACTGCTCCTCATGCGGTTTGACATTGGCGATGTAGACGGTGTCGAGCTCCATGGCACTAATCTTCTGGCGGCCATTAGACGCATCTTGTCTGTATGCGTGCACACACAATGACCATGCAGCTGTGGGGTGACGTGGGGCAGCAGCAAGATCAGAATCCACTGCAAGTGACTGCTTCATGATGGTATGGAACAACCTCGCGGATGCAACCAAGCTAGATCCTACCTTGAGCTCGCACCGCGACACCGTCGTAGCTGAAATGTCCGTCAAGACCACCCGACCAAAGTCCGCGCAGGATATGTTCGACAGATTGCGCCGTACCTGAACCAAACTCAACAAAAGATGACTGTGACACAGCGTGAGACAGTTTGACAGCTTTAGAAGAACAGTTATAAGTTCACACAGTCGCAGAGTCACACAATCACACAGCTCGTGCAGACAGACAATGCCAGACAATGATTCAATGATTCAGTGATGTTTGACTGCAATGCAACTGATCTAATATCAGGAGACTCATGATTCATGAGATGACTGTCATGGTTCATGATTCCTGAGATGCCTGACTGACTGATCCATGACGAGGTGGCGTGACAAACGATACAGTTGAATCCGTTAAGTCCGAACGAGCCACGCCAACGTTGACAATGCCTGTCGGTGTCAGCCAACTCCACTTTCGTTTCGGATTGTCGAAGTACTCATCGTTTGTTCGCTGCACACGGAAGTCGTCTGCAGACTTGAGCTTCTGTATCTCCTTCCTGTACTTGTCTTCACGCTTCTGATTTTGATGTTGCAGGCGTCGATACTTCTGCTGAAGTTGCTTCTTGCTTGCCTTCAAGCTCTTGATCTGAGCTTCTTGCCTCCGGATCATGTCCAAGGATTGCTGTTGCATGAGTTGATCTCGTGGTGCAGGCGCCACGTCCCCAGAGTCCACCACATCCACACCCGCAACGCCTTCCCGGTTCCCGGACGAGCACTGTGATCCAGAAGATCCGGCGGCTTGAACTGCCGCCCTCCGTCGTATATTATGACGACACCGCACGAAACTAGAAAATCGTGAAGGGCGGGAACTTGCATTCGCCTGCCGTGACGGCGACCTCGAGCGGCGACTCGAGCGGGCTGGGTCCGGGGGCAAAATCGGTGCCACGGGAAGCAAACGGAGCAGTTGTTGCCAGGTGTTCGCTTTGGCACGGCATCCGAAGTCATGGAACATCATGACAATGACATTCGGATGGTAACTTTCATCGTCACCATCACTACCTCTCAACGCGAAGCTCTGAGCGGTCTCTCTAATGAATTCTGGGAAAGTGTGGTTCACTCGGGTTCCCCCCCGGTGCGCTTCCAAGCCATCCCACAACCTTTGCAGCCCGGTCAGTTGCACAATGTCGCACTCCTGGCTGTCGGTGTGCACCACGTCCACGATGATCTCCCGCAACCCCGACCATCGCGACAAGGACATGGCAGCCGTACACACTCCCCTGTACGACACCACCTAACAGCCGAACAACTCAACAACACTCACGGCTATAACTTGTTCAACTGCCACATCGTCAATC